TTAAGGTGCTTAGTGTGGCCGCGCACAATCGAATTTATACAACCTGTTTCCCAAATTCGAATTATCTAAATTCGGATTAATCCTGTAGTGTAGACATACCCTTAGATCAACGAGATAGGATCCAACTACAACAAAAAACAAAACAGTCTATATTTTTGTTCAGCAGTCTACTTTAGCTTTTTATATTTGAAACCAAGTTAATAATTACAGAATTTCTGATTGCAGATATCAATTCTTAATGTCAGAAATCTCTTTCAGATGGGGGGAGGCCATGCATGGTAGGCCATGCAGTTCCAGCCCACCTAATCCAGTCCATTCTGACGCCATTACTTTTTGTATGATTAATATATCTTTCCATTGTGAACATGATCACAATTGCATCTCCTACTCCTGTTTTTGGTCACTTTGCTCCAACATCTGAATTACTTTGCCCCTATTGTATCCTGGTAACATTTTTAGACCAAAGGAAGTAGTAAATCATTAGCTCTCCCTCTGTTCCTTCCTGCATGATTGTCTCTACCTATAACTTTGCAATTTTTCTGTGAGCTGTCTGCACATTTAGTTTGTGGAGGGGGAAGTTCAGCTGAATTGTGGAAGTCCCCTTGTAGCTTCATAGTTAGGGGTCTGTTGAAATTTTATAAGCAATAATTAATTAAACATGAAATGCTCATAAACACTTCTCATAATATACTATAAAAAGTTATGGAGAATAGATACGATGTATCCTTGTCAAATAAATCCTGTCCATAAACACCCCCCGCCCCAAAAAAGAGGAGAGAACTATGGAGAAGAAAGTGTCTAGGTTCTATGGTAATAGGTGCACTAGAAAAGCTTGGATAGATGCTATCATTGAAACACTGTTTTTTGTCATTCTGATTATCTTCCCTGAACGTGTGTGTACTACAAGGTAGTAGCAGATAGCATCTGTTGCGTATCATTTGCAGATGTTGCTGCAATGAAAAAAGCAAAACAGAAGAAAAGGGGAAGAAAGTATTTGTTTTTCCTCTCTGTCCTAAATCCTGTGAATCTGTGGAAGTGGCTGAGGGAAAGCTGTTTTTATGCATTTTATGAATTTAGTGTATGGATGTTCTTTTAGCTACTTTTAGAAGGGAATGTAATGGAAGTAGAGTTTGTTTTATGCAGGTGTTTCTGACTGGAATGGGCTACAGAATCTTTTACTGATAAGCCACAGATTCTGGTCTGGCTCAGGTCAGTCATGGCCCTAAGTTGCTACCATCTGAGGGCTGATTGGTGACACATATGAAAGGAGCTGGTCGGCTTAGGCACGTTCCTGGTAGACAGTTCTCTGCATCACAAAACGATCGGTCACTTCGAATGGCGCTAGTCGGCAGTGTCATTGATGGTCTTAGCAGACAGAGAAATCAAGGATTGCGTTGATCAGGGAAACTGAACTACCTTGAGCTATAAAAGTGGTCCCCTTAGAGCAGCGGTTCTCAAACTTCATTGCAGTGTGACCCCCTTCTGACAACAAAAATTACTACACGACTCCAGGAGGGGGGAACCGAAGACTGAGCCCACCCGAACCCTGCCACCCCAGGCGGGGGAGCCAAAGCCCTGGGCAGCGGGGCTTGGGCTTGGGCTTCAGACTTGCTGGGGCGCAGGGCTGACACCAGCCTGGGCGACCCCATTAAAATGGGGTCACAACCCACTTTGGGGTCCCAACCCATAGTTTGAGAACCCCTGCCTTAGAGCATGGCAGCCGAGGTGCGTGCACTGGCACTGTACTTGCCCTGTAGGTGGAGGCAGTGTTTGAATTGAAAGCAGGCGAGTGGAGAGAATGCTGATGTGCCCACGGTGGGCTGTTATCTGTCTGAAGACTCAGCCTTTCCACTGGTTTCAGGGGGGCTGGAACAGTTCGTATAGTGGGGGATGCTGAGAGCTATTGAACCAAACTGTAAACCCTGTATATGATGGAAACCACTTCAAGCCAGGGGGTGCGGCCATGGGCGGCGGGTATAATAGGCCAGAGGAGGCTCTGGCTCCCCTGGTGCTGCCGCAGCCACCGGACCCCCAGTTGCGGGGTTTGGCAGTGAATTTTTTGCTTTATTATGCCCCATGCAAGGTCCCGGGCGGCTGAGTAGCACATGCCGCCTCCTCAGCCGCCCAGAACCTGCATGGTTTTCCCCTGGGCAGTGGGTAGGTCTGGGGAGGGGAGGCAGGCACGGCTGCAGCCAGCCCCGGGTTCCTCCAGGCAGGGGAGGCGCGGGGCTTCGGCCAGTCCGGCCTGGGGTTCCTCTGGGGGGCGGGAGGCTTGGGGCTCTGGCCGCGGGAGCGGGGGATGCAGGGGGTCTTGTGGCTCTGGCCGTGAGGAGGGCGTGGGCGGAAGGGGCGGAGCTGGAGGCTCCATCCATCGCCCATGGGTGCAGCAGCACCCCTAGTTCCAGCACCTATGCCTGGGTTGATCATATTTGGCATGAAAGTTCCTCTTTCTTCCAGAGAATTTAAAAAGTGCTGGAAAATGAATAGATAAGATCCTAGCCTTAGAGTCATTTCCTTGTTTGTTTCTCTTGTTCTCATCCCATTTCTTTTCTTCCAGCTCCCAATTTCATCTTCAGGTCATTTTTCTCTTTCTTTTTGTTTTTCTCCCTCTCATCTCTTCCCACCAGCTCCCTTCCCTGGCTTTTACCAACCTTTGTGACACTTCCCCTCTTTGCCCTCTTGCTATATTCTCTCATGACCTCTGACTCCTCCAGTACTTCCCTCCATGCCCTGGCCCTGGTCCCCATCCCTTTACCTCCTGTTTTCCAAAATCTTCCACTTGAGGTGGATGTTGGGCTGGATGCAATGGTGGTTATGAGGTTTAAGGTACCAGCTTTGCTTTTGAACTTTAATTTTATGGAACAACAGTGTCATCCAGTGGCTTTCTACATTAAGGACAAGTTCAAGTTCCTTTTCTTAAACTAAAGGAAATAATTCCTTTCAACTTCTCCTATTTCATATGGGAGTCTGAATTGAAGTGGATAGTAAGCATGTTCAGTCCTTACTTACATAATACAACCTGCTATGTTTATTAGTCACAGTACATACATAGTATACATTAGACAAGAGAGTAGATGTCTTGGTATTGCATGGTACTGGATAGCATATTTCTTACACTGATTAAACATCAGTTTTGTACAGTTGCACAGAAACAAGATGGCCATTAAGAGAACACCTGCAGTATTCAAGAGAAAGAGATGAAAAATACTATCTTTTGAAAGCATATACAATTTGGTTATTTGTTGCTGAATAAGAATAGGGCTTGGATTTTCTATGGATTGTTATGATCTTTTGGATAAAATTATACTTGAATACAGCTGCATGAAAAGGCCTAATGTTTGGTTAGTTTTTCAGAGAATTTCAGTCACCTTATCTAAAAAAGACATCACAAATAGAAAACACTCAACAAAGAGAAATTACCATGATTAGTGGGTTGGGTGTTTTCAGAGCAGACAATAGCGGTAACTTCTGTACAAGGAGAGATTTTAAAAGAAGGGATTATGTAATCTGAAAAGGAGAAATGGGTGAAGAGCTTTAGTAGAGGAATATAAAAATAACAAATTGGTATAATGAAGGCTATTCAGACACTTGTGTTTATGCTCTTGCACAAGAAAGAAACAAGGGGACGTACAAAATAATGTATTGGGGGGACTGCACGGCTCAGGGAACTGCTTGGTCAAAACAAAAACCAGGTATGGATTTAGGATCTCACTACCCGTCTATCTGAACCTCTAAATCTGGGGATAGGAGTTGGGCAATGAATGTTCAGATAAGTGGGTCCAATTCTGGACCATCTGTAGTAATGGGATGCAGAATCTTTCAGCTCTAGGTCACTGGTTTGAGCCTGGTCGAGGGTGGTAGTGACCAAGATTTGCTGCTTGGATAGGTATCCTCCTTGCAATGCATGGAATGGCAAGTTTGTCTGCAATTTAGCAGAGAGGCCAAAGCTTGAATAGGCATAGAGACTAAGTTGCTGTTCCATCTCAGTCATAGAGTTATTGGGGGCGGGGGAAGAGTATACTGGTGGGGAAACTTGCATTACTGCTGCTCATGCTTTCCTATGCTCAGGCCAGTCTGTGGCTTAAAGAGAGGACTACTGGTTCCTGGGCTGTCATCCCGGCATCTTTAAAATGTAGGGAATTTCAGTTTTTAAATAGAATAATTAATTTTTGTGAAATGGCAGCAAACAATTAAAAGGAAACACTTTGATACACAGTGGATAACTAACCTGTGGAACTTAGTGCTGGATGACCTAAGCGAAGTGTGGTTCAATTATAACATAACTTAAGAATGACCATACTAGGTCAGACCAGTGGTCTGTCTAGCTCAGTATCCTGTCTTCTGACAGTGGCTGATTCCAGATGTTTCAGAGGGAATGAACAGAACAGGGCAATTTGAGTGATCCATTCACTGTAATCCAGTCCCAGCATCTGGAAGTCAGAGGCTTAGGGACGTTCAGTGCATGGGGTTGTTTCCCTGACCATCTTGACTAATAGCCATTGATGGACCTAGCCTCCATGAACTTCTTTTTTTTTTTTTAACCCAGTTCTCCTTTTGGCCTTCACAGCATCCCCATGCAAAGATCTAATCTGAGTTTAGGATGGGACCTTTTTCTCCCTCAACCTCTCAGTTTCAGGGCTATGCATCACTAGGGATGGGGGAAGAACATATTAGCCCTAAATACATGTCTTGATTAATGTGAATTGCATTAATGGTTCTTTTTATCCCGTGGTTTTCTATGTAGATTATCAGAGATTGATTTCACTTAACTTTTTCTTTTTCTAGCCTGCTTTTTTTCCCTGTGCTTACAACTCTTGATGAGATTTTCTTTACCCAAATACTTATATTTCTGAGCTAGTTTCCCACGTCCTCAGTACACACCACTGGCAATTAATGTGCTGAGGTTCCAAATGTAGTGTATGTTAACTTTGGTTATTTGTTATTTCTATATCTTTTCAGTTTATCTAGCGTGACTTTCATTTTCCCTCCTCCCCCTACAGTGAAGGCAGCCATTGGAAATGTGTCTATATTTAATCAAACCTGTGTGAAGTGGAGAAGGAGCACTAGAGAAACCAACTTGAAGATGGTGTATTTGGTAAGCAAGACAGGATGTTCGTGGTTTCTCCATTGCAGGACTGTCCCTTGGTACATTGGCACTTTGGCTGAAAATGGTATTTTCCACACTGCTTTCTGCTGACTTCCTCCCACTTAGTCCCCAGTCTGCGTCATTTCCTCCTTCCAAAAAATGTCCTTTTTGTGCTCATTTGAATGCAGTGATGAAAGGAGATCAGATGGGTGGAAACTCCACAGGCAGAGAATGAGTGGCTCCAGTGTTAGAGCCCAGGTGGAGGGCCCCTTGAAAGTGTGGCCTTCAAAGTCCGTAATTATTTGATGGGAGTTATGGCAGTAATTATTTGGTGAAGTTACTGAAATGTTTGCAGCAGGAGGACTCTTGCGAAGCAGCAGCAAATCAATTAATATGGCAACAAACATACTGTAATGGACACCAACGAAGGGAGTCATGCTGAATGCTGTGACACACCAGTCCCTGAGGTGTTTGGTAGTGTTCTGGGTATACCACACACTCAGTGCAAGAGCCGTAGGTGCGCCAAGCGCTTCAGGTATTAGCCTTTGGTGGGTTTCAGTAAACACTTGGAGACTGTGGTTTATCACAAAGGATCACTTTATTTTTTGCCTTATATGTGCTTCTCTCCTCCCCCCCCCCCATAAATAAACAGTGCAGTTACTCTTGGCTTTAAGATACAAATAAAAGATGACAAATGTAAGACACAACAGGTCTCAGTCAAGCCCCTAAGGGCAGTGCAGAACACGAGC